GACGGTGACGTTAGGGGTGCCCGGGACTGGTCGACGACAGAAACTGCTCGTCCATAACACCACTGTTGCAGACATCTGCAAATAGCACTTCTGCTCATCACAAATGCAAAGTTACAGTAGCTATATGAGACCAGTGGTTGGCCATTATTATTTAAAGTCTTTTTTGTATTTGTATTTTTTATTTTTTTTTAAGATTTTATTTATTTATTTGACAGAGAGAGACACAGCGAGAGAGGGAACACAAGCAGGGGGAGCGGGAGAGGGAGAAGCAGGCTTCCCGCCGAGCAGGGAGCCCGAGGCGGGGCTCGATCCCAGGACCCTGGGATCATGACCTGAGCTGAAGGCAGACGCTTAACCGACTGAGCCACCCGGGCGCCCCTATTATTTAAAGTCTTAACAGAAAAGCACACATATTCCAATACCATAAATTTGAAAAGTATCTAAGAACTGAATCTGAAGAGAACTGGTTTCCCTTGTAACCCCATGGATTTTGTTTTAGAAAAGGAAGAGCCTTGGGGTGCCCGGGTGGCTCCGATGGTTAAGCGTCTGCCTTCAGCTCAGGTCATGATCCCAGGGTCCTGGGATCGAGTCCTGCATCAGGCTCCCTGCTCCTTGGGAGCCTGCTTCTCTCTCTGCCTGTCTCTCTCTCTCCCTCTGTCTCTCATGAATAAATAAATAAAATCTTTCAAAAAAAAAAAAAGAAAAGGAAGAGCCTTGTTCTGAGAAGGGGTCCCTAGGCTTCGCCCAATGGCCCAGGGGCTCAGGAGCCATGGTAAGGAGTTTGACTTTTATTCCGGGCGGGACAGAGAGCTGCCGTTTCAACGGGTTTCGAGGGCTACAGTTTCCGTGTTTCAAAGTCCCCCTGGCTGCGGGGCATGTGGTTGTGCGGGGCAATGTCAAGGGCAGGAGAGGGCGTGGCCTTCCCTGACCACTGTCCTGGGCCGTCAGGAGGGGGCAGCGTCCCCGGGTCCTCGTGCTCTTCCCTCTGATCGGGAGCCTGCCCACCACCCCACCTCACGCTAACCTCTGGGTCCAAAGGAACCCTGTCCCTTGGCCCAAACCCTCCCCCACAGGGCATCCTCCCAAAGAGCTTCAGAAAGTGAGCTCATGTGTCCACAAGAAAAATAAATGCGGCATTCGCCCCTGTTTGGTTTGTATATTCGTCTAGAAAAGAAATGAGATTTTTATTTTAGAAAAGCCTTCCAGCAGGACCCCAGCGGAGGCCAGGCAAACACCAGGGGGACGGACCGTGACCGCTCGGGGAGGTTCAAGCACCGGGACCCACTGCCACGAGCAGCAGCCCCGCCGTTTACGGCTGCCTTCCTGTTTTCCCCGGGCCTCTCTTCGCACTGCTCTCTCACACACAGAGTCTTTTCAATGCCCTCCAGGAGAACAGAAGAATCCATTTTCACACGCCGGCACGCACGTTTCTCCCACCCTCCCCGGGGAGTGGGCCCTGCCAAGAGGCCTGTTTATGGACATACGGGGACAGATGGGGATGGGGCCCGTGGGGTGGGGTCCTCAGACCGAGACAAGCTGAGAGCTGAATCCTATGCTCCCAGACGCCCCAAACAGGAAGTAAGAGCGGGGCCAGGCCGACTGGGAGCTGAGGGACATTTGTGGTACTTCTCAGCAATGCCTGCGAGCCTCGTGGAGGGACAGGGATGCAGTGTGGGGTGTGGAGGGTCTGGCTTTGGAAGGAGGGGGCTGGAAGGGGCGGGGCTGGTTCACCTCGAAGGATCAGAACAGTCAGAGAGAAACAGAGAGGAAGCGTGCACTGGGTCTTTGGAACCAGGTTAAGTGAGCAGCAGAAAGAGAAACAGAGGCACCCACGTCACTGGTAAGGACCAGCGCAGAAGAGTGACCACTGTTTCCAAGTGCTGCCTGTTCAGCTTGGAGTCCCCTTCCCAGGGCTCTGGTTAGAAAGAACAGGCTGGGTTTTGTTTTTCTTGGGAGGGGGTTCGTTTTTATCTGTACCCATTGGCATTTCTGGATTGTGAGTCTCTCCAGCACCCGGTCCCTGGGAATAAGGGAGGCAGAAAAGAGAACCCAGGAGCTTGCTGGCATGTCATTCCTCACATTCCTGGGTCCCCAGCCAGTCTGCCCTCATCTCTCCACTTTTCACAATTTTCCTCTCCTTGTTTCATACATAATGTCCAGAGCTTTTGCCTGTCCTTGGTGGGAGGGTAGGGGACAGTGCATCTACTCCATCGTGTCTGGAACTGAAGTCCTACATTTCATATGGTTATGTTTTATATATATATTTTTAAGATTTATTTATTTATTTGAGAGAGAGAGTGAGCACACAGAGGCAGAGGGAGAAGGAGGCTCCCCGCTGAGCAGGGAGCCCAACTCGGGGCTCAATCCCAGGACCCTGAGATCATGACCTGAGCTGAAGGCAGACGCTTAACTGACTGAGACACCCAGATGCCCCTATGTTTTATATTTTTAAGAAACACATGAATCAAATACAGCAGAATACTCCAATTTCTTTAACCTGTCTGGCAGTTACAGGAAAGCCCTTACAGGGCTTTCAATACTCTTCCATTTATTGGAAACACTGTATAAATTCAGTGCTACTCACACCCCTTCATTCTTTGCTCATTCATCCACCCAACCTCTGTTGTGCACCTTCAGGCACCAGCTACACAGTGGCGAATTGAAAAGATTCTTCCTGAAGAGCCTTTCACACTTGGGGTGACCAGACAGCAAACAACAGCTGAGGCAGGGTGCTCCCACAGAAGAGGACGGTGTGCTCTGAAAGATTCTCACCAGGGGCCTAAGTCAAATTCTCTGAGGATGTAGTCGTGGGGCCTGACTGTGCCCCCAGGGCATGCCTGGTATCACCACCTGTGGGCAGTCTACCCAAAGGCAAAGAGGCAAACAGCTTCCCAAGAACAAGCTTCGTGGGCAAGGCTCCTCCCAAGCAAGCTGGCTCTCCCACAATTACCCCACCTCTCTGCACAGCTCCCCACTTCAGGGGGAGGTCTTTCCTCCTATTTCAAGCTCTCTCCTCCAAATCAGCACCCCAGAAAGGTCTCTTGCATCAATTCTTTGACTGTAAGCATGAGTGGGAGCCATTCCCTGGGCCCGTTGAGGAAAACCAGGCTCAGCATCCAGAACAGGCATTCTGGTCTCCAGTGAACTTGCTCACCCTGGACCAGAGAGGGCTTGTCTCCCCAGGGTGTATGACAACATGGTAACTGAAGTCCCCATCCCTAGGCCCTATTCTCTCCAAGTTTAGAGATTTTATTTATTTATTTGACAGAGAGAGACACAGCGAGAGAGGGAACGCAAGCAGGGAGAGTGGGAGAGGGAGAAGCAGGCCTCCCGCAGAGCAGGAAGCCCGATGCGGGGCTCGATCTCAGGACCCTGGGATCACGACCTGAGCCAAAGGCAGATGCTTAACGACTAAGCCACCCAGGCGCCCCTCTCCAAGTTTAAATTAGCATGAAGAACAAAATGGCCCCAGGGAAATAATGGCCAGACTCCAGAGAGGCTCTTCCTCCCTTCTCTCTGAAAGCCACCTGTTTAGCTTGGCAAAATGCTCCCAGGCCCAGGAGATGTGCCCATCTTCTCTCCCACCCTGCCCCAGGTGTCCCCAGCATCAAGGGTGACTGCAGCACCCCCAGCACGGAAAGGGCCCAGCAGAGTGGTGGCTGCTGGGCATTCCAGAAAGAAAGCTGGAGTGCTAAGGGGAGGGTGTCCTGGGCTCCTGAGGAGGGCTCCAGTGAAGCCCCATTTACACACATGGTCTCATTTGACTGGGTTAATGATCACTTCTTTCACCTGAGGAAACAGAGGGTCAATAAGATTAAGTGACTCGTCAGGTGGGATCTGAACCCAAGTCTGTCTGAATCCATTGACCGTGATCCCTTAGGCCAGCTCCATTCGCACCAAGAACACGGTGGGGGATCTGATCTGAGTTGTTAAAGTGAACGGTGGATCTTGAGGACATTTCCCCATGCTTCAGCAGCCCACCTGCTTCAGCTGCTCATATCTGCCTTCATGGGGCACACGTGGCTTCCTTTCATTTCATAAACACTAATTAAGGGAGCTCCATGGTAGGCATGTGGGGCACACAGAGCAAACAGTTGTCACCTGCTGTCACAGCAAAGCAGAAGAATCTGGAGGGAGGGCCAAGCAGCCAGGACTGAGCAGGCTTGGGATGCCAAACTCACCAATTGAGGACACAGGGCTCCCAGAGAGGGGCTGTGTCAGCCCCATGAGAAACAAGGCCCCTCTGTTGTGGGAGGTGCTTGGCTGAGTGGGTACCCAATAAAGAGGACTGGGCTGTCCCACTGAACAGGGTGGCCCCTCCATGAGCATCAGCATCCTCAGCAAGAGGAAAGGGAACCCAGACATTCACCTCACCCTCAGCTCCCAAAGCCTGCTTGCTGAGGGCAGAGCCCACAGGCTCCGGGCAAGAAGGGTGGGAGGCTGTGAGGGGGCGCTCAGTGCCAGGCCTGGCCCACCTCCACCACCCTCCCACAAGCTGTGCAACTTTGGGCCACTTACAGATCCTCAGTTTCCCCATCTGAAAGATGGAGGAAAAAAAAACCAGTACTTGCCTCCAAGGGTAATTGGGAGATAATCCTGCCCAGCACACACCAAATATTCAATGAATGTTTCCTATTTTTTTTTCAGGCGGGGGCGGTTGGGGGGAAAAGGGGAAAGGGAGAGGGAGAGAAAGAATCCTAAGCAGGCTCCACGCCTAGCACAGAGCCCAACTCGGGGCTTGAACCCACAACCCTGAGATCACAACCTGAGCCGAAATCAAGAGTCGGACGCTTAGCCAGCTGAGCCACCCAGGTGCCCCTGTTAGTTTCATCTTTATGTCAATTAGCAAGGATGTCAGCCTGGAGCTCCTATCTGGAATCACTCTGCTGCATTAACGGGTTCGTATTTGACTCACTGTATAAACAGTTTGTTGGTCAACGGGCTCGTCGCTCCTCTCCCAGCCCCTTCCCCGCACCCCCTCCAGGCAGAGGACAGCTTACCTATGGTCCTTCGGAGGTCTTCACACTGGCTAATGTGAGGAAACTTCAGGATTTCCTTCCACTTCTTGCTTTTCCCCTTGCGCTTTCCTCCACCCCCTGCAGAAATGGGGGGAAAAGATGTTGGGCTGATGTTGGTCTTGTCCAAGGCTCCAGAGCCTGGTTCCCAACCCAGTGAGTCTGTCCACCAGCTTCAGGGGCTGGGAGACAGCCAGGGGGCTTAAGGTCAAGTCAGTGACACACCCCAAACCCCAGCAGGGACACACACCCCCTCCTGGCCGGCATCAAGCCTGTGTGTTCTCCCCGCACAGTCGGGCCTGGGCCCCTCGACCAGCAGGAGCAGACGAGCCCCTCCAGTCAGCCAGGCCTGAGCCCACACCCGGTGCCCTGTTCTTTGTCGACATCTCCCACTGCTGTTCAGGCCTGCTGGGTGCCCAGCCTCTGGCCCCAGACTAGACCCCAACCTTCCCACGGCAGGGGCCAGGTCGGCTGGACTTAATATTGCCTTCGGGCTCAGGAAATCCTCACAGAAAGGATCCACAAGTGAGTGGACTGCAGCCCCCTCATTGCCTCTTTTGTCCTCTTGTTTCCTGTGGAGAGTCCCCTTTCCCAACTGGAGGCCAGATGTCGGGAGCAGGGACTTCAATTTCCACTCGTCTCCTGTACCCCCTTCTTCTCCCTCCTCACAAACCCCACGGTCGCAGAGGCTGCCTTCTCAAGGCTGGAAGGACTCCAGAAGGGCCCCTTCCTGCCTCACATCCTCCCCAGTGTGCACGTATGATGAGCACGCACACGCTAGGGACATGCATGTGTAATACACAGGCACACATGCTGAACACACGTGCAATGAAGATGCACACATGCTGACCCCACGCACATGACGACTAGGCAGTGAACACACAGAGCTGAGTAAGGTATACACACGGGGCATGCCCATCACCCATGCTACTCCTCCATGGGACAGTGGACAGATGTCAGAACGCTCAGGTGTGCAAACAGCAAGGGGAAGCGCCAACTCTCGTCCGTGTCCCTGAGCCCACCAATGCTTGGGCCTCAGACCCAGAGGCCCCACTGTGTCATGGCCAGGACTCTCAAGGGACTGAGATGCCATCACCCACCCCCCACCCCCAGAGTGGCCTCAGATACCATCTTGCTAAAGGTCACATAGCCCTTTAGACCCCTCAGTATCTTGGGATATTAAGGACCTTTTACTTTCCTTCACACAGTCAACACCTCAACCCCTGTGGAGTTTGGGGCCCAGTTAGAGAAGTAGGATCTGGGACAGAGCTTGGGCACCCTGGGCCTGCTCCCTGCTCTGGGTGGGTATGCAGTGCCTCTGGTCTCTAACGCTCCCAGAGCAGGCCTGGGCCCCTCTCTCCAACCAGCAAACTGAGGGATGCAGGAGGAGCTTAGCTTGTACCCACCTTGGCCCAGTGTGTGCCCTAGGGCTGGCAGGGAGCTGGTCTCCATGAGTGAGGATTCCTTACTGTCAACCCTGCTGCCCTGGGCAGCTGAGGCCGGGTTCCCCATCAGTGAGTTGGGTTAGCTTCTGAGGCCAGGACCAGGACCCCCACCCTGGGGGCTGGGAAGTAGGAGAGGGAGCTGATGCAGGGGGCGGGGGTCCTTTCTCTGCTCTCTGTTCATTCTATCTTCCTTCCTTTCCAATCTCTGCAGAAGGCAAAGGCCTCAGACTCCAAGGGGCAGAACGAGTGTGCACTGGGCAGGGCACTTGCTGTGGCCAGGTACCATTTGAACATTATCTTGTTTAATCCTCAGAACGACTTTTTGAGGAAGAGATCACTGGACGGACACTTGGGTTGTTCCCACCGCTTGACTTTTGTGATTGATGCTGCTATGGATATCTGAGTCCCTGCTTTCAATTCTTTTGGGTCTATGCCCAGGAGGGGAATCGCTGGATCGATCACACAGTAGTTCTATCTTTCTGTGGAACTGATGAAACCTTCTTGACAATATGGACTACCAGGCTGTACCGTATCAGGCCGTACCCCAACAGCCTGCGATCAAAACCCAGAGATGTGACTTTTGAAAAGGCTCCCCAGGTGATTCTTAGGTGGCCAATCTATGGAAATTAGGGGTCTATTTTACACATGTACACATGTGTGTGTGTGTGTGTACATACTTTTATGGATTAATTTATCCATTAGGAAAATTAACACTGACTCGTTAATTCATTCAACCAATATATGTTGAGCATCTACTAAATGCCAAGCTCTATGCAGGTGCTGGGGACACAGTGGCAGGCAAGAGACACAGGGTGTCGCCATTTGGGGGCTTCTAATCTAGCAAGGAAGACAGACATTAAAGACTTTATTTCAGTGGTTCTCAACCCAGGCGATTTGTCCTCTGGGGGCCATTTGGCAATGTCTAGGGATATTTTTGGTTGTCACAGCTGGGCTGGGGGTGCTACTGGCCATGGGTAGGCAGAGGCCAGGGATGTGGTTACACACTGCACAATGCATGGGACAGGCCCCGACAACACAGAGCAATCTGATCCAAAACGTCAATAGTGCTGAGGAGGAGAAACACTGCTCTATTTAACAAGCATTTTGACCACTCAGCAGTGCAGGGTTTGGGGGAGACGTTAGTAATGGGGCAATGTGTCGCTGAAGTTGGAATTAGGAAGGGAGGGAGAGGGTCCCACACAGCCACCCAGGGGGCTGCCCCAGGGCGAGAAGGCAGACTTCCCAACCCACATGGGGCTCCTTGCCTCCTATTCCTTACCTCCTCAGCCCCCGGAACAGGGCAGGGACTGGGGTAGGCAGAATAAGGCTCCCCAAAGTGTCCATGTCCTACTCCCTGGCGCCTGTGGATATGTTAGGATACATGACAAAGGGGAATGAATACTGCAGATGGAAGTAAGGATAACAGCAGGAACATTATCCCAGATGGTCCCAATGTAACCATTAGGGTCCTTACAAGAGGGAGAAGAGTCAGTTTAGAGTGATGCTGGGTGAGAAGGACCGGCCACTTCTGTCTTTGAAGATGGAAGGGGCCATGAGAAAGCGGGCAGCCTCTAGAAACCAGAAAAGGCAAGAAAACAGATTCTCCTTGAGAGCCTCCTGAAAGAACGGAGCCCAGCCAACACCCTAGTTTTAACCCAGTGAGACCCATGTCCGACTTCTATAACTCAATAATTTGTGTTCCTTTCATCTACTGGGGTCGTGGTACGTGTTACTGCAGCAATAGAAAACTAATACAGGGACGCTCTCAGTAGGGTGTCCCCTTAAATGGCCGCAGGGATCCTGAATGGCCTCCCCACTGACCTGGCCTCCAGTTCCTTAAAAAGTCTCATGATGGGCGCCTGGGTGGCTCAGTTGGTTAAGCCACTGCCTTCGGCTCAGGTCATGATCCTGGAGTCCCGGGATCGAGTCCCGCATCGGGCTCCCTGCGCAGCAGGGAGTCTGCTTCTCCCTCTGACCCTCCCCCTTCTCATGCTCTCTCTATCTCATTCTCTCTCTCAAATAAATAAACAAAATCTTTAAAAAAAAAGTCTCATGACATAAACCCTGCCCCTCCGTAACTCACACAGGCTGGAGCAAGGTCTCGTCTTCACCATAACCAAAACTCGCCTCGAAGAGGTCTCCACTTCCAGATATCTGGCTCTTAAGTATGCTGCTGGGTTAGCAGATGGCGTATCTGATACTGTTTATTATTTCAACCGGATGTGATTGTTTCTCAGGACCCTGAGGCAGCGAGCGCGACCACCCTGCTGCGGAAGTTCCTTGCGTGTCCCCACCCTGTGGCCTCCACTGCCCCAGGCCCACCTCCCCGCTTGGGAGGGGTGTCAGGCCTATAGGGGGGCTAGAGCCAACACCTCTCCACCACTGATGGAGGCTCCAGCAGCTGGGGTGGCCAGTTCCCAGGCCTGCCCCTCCACCACTGGTCACCCATTCTCCTTGGCCAAGCCTTTCACCATGAGGTCACCGTCCCCCCAAGCTTTATTTCCTCCCTGCCATTGCTCTCAAGGCCTTTGCACTCACTGTCCCCTCTGGCAGGAGCATCTTCTGCCTACCCAGTGTGAGTGTTTCTCCTCCACGCTTCAAGTCTTAATGCCGGCATCCAGGTTCAAGACTGTCCTGAGCGCTGTATGGCCATCCCGGAGGGCCTTCTCCCACCTGGGTAGCTGAAGTGGGCCCTGTTCTCTGCCTTCACAACGGCCACTGAACAGCGTTTGGGAGGCCCTGGGCAGTTGGGCAGCCTCTCTCTCTCTCTCTCTCTCTCTCGCACACTCTCGTCAGCTGACAGATTCCCTGATCCATTCTCCCAACACATTCGGCCCATTTTCACTGACGTGCCCAACCTGTATGTGTGACGTCATTCCCAGATTCCCAGCACCGGCCCCAGCTCCCATCAGTACCCCACAGCTTCCTATTTAGTGCTTTACTTGCCTAGCCTCAGTCTCCCTGCTCGAGGGAAGACCATGGTGGCAGGGGCCTGGGTGTCTGTGCTCTCTGTTGCTCTCTCCTGGCCCAATGTAGATGCTCAAACAGCATTTGCCAAGCAGATGCAAGTGTCATCCCTCTGACCTCTGTATGCATCCCCCTCCCCCATCCCGTGACCCAGCAGGAGAAGTTCCTGATCCCTCCACCTGCTGGAGCCTTGCTCCTTCCTCAAACCCCCCAGACAATGCCCCTTCCAGGGCTGCCCTGGAGAGGCAGAGCTCCCTTGCCAAGCCCACAGCCCACTCCCAGCTCCACCCAGACCTTTTCAATGTCCCTCCAGAGAGTGGGGCAGCTCACACAACTTGCCCCGTTAATCACAAGCTTTCATTAAGTTAGGCTGACTGACTGGGTAAACAAATGTTTGCTGGAATCAATGACAACATCCACCCCACCCCACCCTACCCCCGGCCGCCTGAGGTCAGCACTGAACTGGGTGGTATCTGTTTGGGGCTCATTAAGGTGGCATTAGCCCCATTTTACAGATGAGAAGCCAGAGGCTCAGGGAGAGGAATTCATGGGGAGTAATGAGCCCCCCTGCACTGACTCACAGCCATTTCTTGTCTTGAGCAGCTTTGGGTTTTATTTGCTTCACCATCTGACCCACTGCTGCTCACAGTTTATCTTTCATGGGCTGGAAATGAGTCAGTGAACTGGACATGGTCCCTGCCCTCAGGAACATCCAGCTCGTTCCAGGCTTCGAAGAGCAGAGATGAGCAAGACTGCTCGGAGTGTGGCCTGGTAGGCGGGGGGCTGCATGGAGGAGGGGCAGCTCCAGCCAGGGAGGGGATGGCAGCAACACGGGCTGGGGGGCTAGACAAGAAGGGGTCCTGCCCAAGGAGGGAAGAGGCCAAGATGTTGGGGACACGGGCTGAACTCTGCCAGCTCACCACTCTGAGGAAAGGCACCAAAGGATCAAGATGGCAGGTCTTGCTCCTGGAATGGGAAAGAGTCCAGGGCAAAATCCGGAGAAAGGTGGGCAACAGGAAGATAGGAGCGTTCCCTGACTTGGGGCCTCACCCCCAGCTGGCCCCATAAGAAGGAGGGGGCAGTTCCCAGAAGGAAATTGTTTAGCAAATCATTTCTCCTTCCTCCCGCCCCCAGGGTCCCCCTGGACTGCCAGCAATGGCCTCTTACGGATGCACCCAGGAGGGCTAAGGCAAGTGTGATAAGGGGGTGGCGGGCAGAAGGAGGGAGAGTAGCCGAGAGGAGTGGGGGCTCCTCTGGCAGGACAGCAAATTCTAGCAGGGACTAGAGTGTGGGGACAAAAGGCAAAGTAAGAGGTAGCTACCATTTCTTCAGCACGGGCCAAGCGCTCGTAAACTAACTGGCATTCCTTTTGCTCCCACGGATGCCCCCAGGGAAGAATAAAAGGATGGCTCCCAAAAGCTGCCATGAGAAAGTGGTCACTGTGGGGGGAAGAAACTGGCTTACTGTCACTCTTGCTGCTTGTACTGGGCTCGAGGGAGGGGTTTGCGCTCTGAGGGCAGAGGGAACCAGAGGGAGCACAGAGAGGCGGACCCATGCCTACTGTGGGGGACGGCGCTGGTGGGGGGGTACTGAGCTCTACAAGGGCACAGACCCCGTGGATCCCAGTGATGAGGGGCTCTGAGCACGGAGGAGCCTCCAGCCCCCCAGGGATTGTGGCCCTGTGGCACAGAGGAGTGGAGCTGCCAGCAGAGGCCCCTCCTCTGAAGGACACCAACAAAACCAGCAACAGCAGGGACCCCGATGGTCAGCGGACTGCAAAGTTGTTGGCCGGACTCCTTCGAGCCCTGGGCCTTCTCTTTCCACCCTCGGAAGGAAGGGGGACAGCCCTTTGCCAAACAATTGACCCTGGGATTCTCATTAACCTTATGGTATGATATATTTGATCTGGAAATTAAAGAAACGCGACCCTTCCTGTACTCCGAGGGTCTGGGGACAATCGGTGAGGACATCATCGCAATTAATTCTCACATCAAGTCCATGAGGAGGTCCTATTCCTGAACCCATTTTGCCGATGAGAAAACAGTCTCAGAGGGGCAAGAACCTTGCCTCAAATCACTCAAGTGGCCGCATCACAACCTGAGCCAGGACCCTGGTGTTGGACTCTTAGTCTAAAGTTCTTTCTTCCCTGCTGACAAATGAGCAGCTGATCAGAGGAAAGCGGCCTTGGGGGAAGCTGAGGAAGCCTCCATGCATTTGTTGGGAAGACCTTCCTTCACACCCTTGAATCAGAGGGTCAGTGTGGTCCTTGGATCAGCAGCATCAGCTTCACTGGGTAACTTGTTAGAAATGCAGATTCTCAGGCCCAACCATAGACGTATTGATTCAGAAACTCTGGGAGTGGCACCCAGCCACCTGTGTATTAATGAGCCTTCCAGGTGATTCTGATGCTCACTCAAGCTTGAGAACCACTGCCCTAAAGTGAGAGAAAGTTCCTGAACATCACACAAGAAATGGGAAGATGGGACCACTCTCTCTGGGAACTTCCCTCTCTCTGATCGGTGATACTTCTAAAAAGGATTAAAAGAAACACAGCAAGATTGGGACAAACCACCAAAAATGTTCCTCCCAGCCCCCAAATTCAGTGATCCTGGGATCTGACTGACAAGCACCTGCCTGACTTGAGCTTCTTCTCACACGGATGCTTGACAGCGTCAGTCACTTAACTAGGCCACCAGCCAGGGCAAGGGGCAAACTGTATAAGAGCCCTCCTAGGGCGCCTGGGTGGCTCAGCGGTTAAGCGTCTGCCCTCGGCTCAGGTCATGGTCCCAGGGTCCTGGGATCGAGCCCCGCATCGGGCTCCCTGCTCTGCGGGGAGCCTGCTTCTCCCTCTCCCACTCCCCCTGCTTGTGTTCCCTCTCTCACTGTCTCTCTCTGTCAAATAAATAAAAAAAATCTTAAACAAACAAAAAAAAGCCCTCCTATTTCCAACATGCTCAGTGCTGCTTATAAGGGTCCAGGTTGGGAAGCCGGCCTCAGGGAACCCCACTTCATGCCCCCAGGCCCTGGCCTGGCTCCCTAACAGGCTGGGCAGGACTGCCCTCAAGCCCCTCCTGTACCAGAAGTGAATGCTTCCTCTACTGGGTGTCTCCGCGTTCTGACAGCCTCTGGACCTTGACTGTTCTACGGATCCCAGAGAGGAGAGAACCATCTATGGAGATGGGCCTGCCAGGGTCCACAGAGGACCTGATACGGTGTGTGGGCTCTGAGGAGGAAGGATGTTTTCCCACAGAGCTCAAATCAAAAACAGTGTTGGTGAGTACAGTTCTACCCAAGGTTAGCAGTAAGAGAGATTCATTTGAGTTGACCTGCAAAGAAGGGGATTGTTACCAGGATCACGGAGGCCTCTAAGAATCCAAGGAAAGGCAGCTAAGAGCAGCTGGGTTTGTGGGAGTCAGAAGGCCATGGAGACATAGAGAAGCTGGGGCTGAGGTGTCCACCCCCCCATGCCACCACGTACCCCTCTGCAGACCATACCAGGCTCACTCACCCCTCTGCCCAGGCCCAGTTGGCCGCTGGTGTACAACAAGGAATTTGACTGGTCTTTGTCCCTGGTTCCTGGGAGGTGACCTCCAAGTCCTTGGAATTTTCCATGTGATAGAGTGTTGTTTTTATTCATAGTGGATCCCCCCCAAACGTACCCGAGTTTATGCTAACAAGATGGCTCAAGATGGGGCTGGCCATGCCAGAATGACCAACCATAGGATTGGGTAGGTTCTGAACCCGGTGATAATATCCCGACCTCTGAGGAGAGACAGGGGCTGGAGATGGAGCTCAGCCACGTGGCCAGCGATTCAATCAGTCATGCCTAAGTAATGAAACCCCAATAAAAACTCTAGGCACCGGGCTCAGGCTAATTTGCTAGCTGCTGCCGGAAAGGTAACGCATCCCTCACGAGCCCTATGCATCTCTCTCTTGCTGGTTTGGCTTTGCGTCCTTTAGTGCTGATAAAATTGCAAGTAAAGTGCTCTGAGTTCTGTGAATCATTCTAGTGAATCATTCTAGTGAATTATCACACCTGAGGGTGTGAGAGAGTTCCTGAATTTGTAGCCAGTACGGTCGGGCCCTGAGAATCTGCATTTCTAACAAGTTACCCTGAATTTGACGCCGGCCCAAACTTGCAGCCGGGGTCTGAAGGGAAGGCAGACTGTGGGACTGCGCCCCTCATCTGGAGTCTGTGTTAATTCCAGGATTAGTTAGTATCAGAAATGTATTATAGCTGTCAAGGACCCCAAGTCCTCAGGACCCTCTAGACCAGCTCACTACCTGCCTGCCAGAACCCCGATTCTAAAGGCCCAAGGAACAAATCTGACTGGCCAACTCATCTTTTCTCTCCAGGCCACAAGTCATGGGCCAGCCCAGACTCTACACAATCCAATCAGGTCTGGCCTTTGCAGATGGGAGGCTTGGGAATGCAGGCCAAGCAAGCAGGCAGCCGGCCTCCCTGGGCTCGGGCTCACACGTTCAAGAGCAGGGGCCCCCATGACAGGGCCAAACATCACCAGAGATAGCACAAGCAAGACCACAGAAACAACCACTCTCGCTTCTAGAACAGTTCGGGGTGCTGCCAGTCGAAGGTACAGGATGTGGGGGGGACGGGGCCCAGACTGCAGCAGCCCCAGGATTCCCACTAGGGCCCCTTCCCCCCGCTGCCTCAGGCCCCCCCCCCCCCCGCCTCCCTCCATGGCCTGTGGGTGGCTGGGGGCCACGAGGCTCAGAAAGGTCAGCATTATGCTAACGCAAGGGACCAACCTCGTCAGAAATCCAAATGCTGTTGTAAAGCAGGTCTTTATGATACTCGTGGGGTGAGGGGGGCATGAAAACTGGAGGTGCTCTCTCTCTCTCTCAGCACACTTTGATCAAGGTCTGGGAAGTTCTCAGGTATCCTGGTGACTGTACGTGGGAAGGATTTCTCCCCATGTTCCCAGCGGCAAGAGGCTGATGACTCACCCCCGCTTGGCCAGTCGAGTGGAACGTAGTGTTACAGTTTTGTTTTGTTTTGTTTTTTTAAAGGAAGTTTTTTTTTTTTTAAGATTTTATTTATTTATTTGACAGAGAGAGACAAAGTGAGAGACAGAACACAAGCAGGGGGAGCGGGAGAGGGAGAAGCAGGCTTCCCGCTGAGCGGGGAGCCCGATGTGGGGCTCGATCCCAGGACCCTGAGATCATGACCTGAGCCGAAGGCAGACGCTTTAACGACTGAGCCACCCAGGCGCCCACGTAGTGTTACAGTTTTGCCTGTGACGTCTGTGGGGCTGAAGAATCTGTTCCACTCCCTTCTACCCAGGTGCGCTTTCAGGAGTCGGTTTCCAAAGCACGGCCAGCAGGCTGGCTTTCCAGAAAATACCACCGCAGAGAGGCTGGCGGTGTTCTCAGAGGCCACAGGCAAAGCGGAGGAGGCCCGATCTTCTGCTGAGGTAGGTTGCTTCCAACCCCTGCCCTTCCCGTCACTGGTATCTCTGTCCCCTCCCCCCGGGCCCTGCCACCTTTGCCCCCAGTGGGGCACTGCAGCTGAAGCTGATGAGGTAGGTATGCAGCATCTCACTGGTTCAAAGGCTCGCCTCATCCAGCCCCGAACAGGGCAAGATTCCAATTACAGGACCCCGTCGGGTCCGCAGCACCAGCGTGGTCTGTGCCTCAGGGCACCCTCCTCTGTGACGTTTCTAGATGCCTCTGAATCAAAACGACTCCTGCCCTCACTTCCTCCATGACCACACTGTCCCAAAGTGCCCGAGCGGGGAGGTCAGGATGGGGTGGGGCCAGGTGGAGATGCCCCCAAAACTACCCGCTGATTGAAACGTTTAGAGAAAAACAGCACGGGAGGGGCCGCCAAAGGCCCCCGAGGCCCAGAACGCCCCGAGATGTGCCGCTCGTGCTGGGCTGAGTCCGCGGTACCTCAGGGCAGGAAGCATCACGTAGTCTTCAAGTGTATTCGGTGCCTTCCTACTGGCATGGGACCCCCAGGGTGGGCCAGCGAGGGAAGAAGGGGGTAGGCACTGAGTCCCTCCCCGCCCCAGGCTGCCTGCTTCCAACAGCCTGACGAAACCACCAACTTCACCACACAGTAGATGCTGACCCTGCTTAGCACTTCAGAGACCTCAGGGATAGGCCCAGAAAGCGGGATGAAGCCCAGGCTCTGTTCAAAAGGTTGCCAGTCCGGGGCAGGTGCAGTCAGACCAGGGAGCAACCTGCCTAAGTCAGTAAAACGAGGAGACAGAGGAGACGGGGAGGGCCCGAAGGCCTTTCCAGGCCCCGTTAACCTGCCTGGGAGCTGAACTCAGCTGCTTAGTTGGGGGCTCCCGTTGTTCCAGGGGACCCCCCCGCCACGAAGGCAAACAAAAACCATGGTGGGCACACGGGAGTAGGGCATTAGCACACCCCAGGCCTGGAGGACCTGGGGAGGCAAAGACTCACCGCTATCCCGACCCCAAAATGTTTCAGGGCCGCCGCTGTCAGCCACGAGAACCTGAAACCTCCACTCTGCTCTCAGAAGGAACTGCGGTGTTGAAGTGGTGTGAAGCATGGGGGGCCGCACCGGGCCTGTGGGGCCTGCGGCCTGTGGGCAGATCTCAGCACCTCTGGGCCCCCTCATGGCCTCACCACAGTCGGGTTTCCAGAGCAGACAAACCTCGCCACAACCAGAAGGATCCCGCAACCTCAAATTAGGAAAACCCAAACCAACACCAGGCCTGGTAAGTGGTCGCCATGGGGACAGGGAGACATGGCCCCTGTCCAGCACGCTGAGCCCGAGAGCAAGGAGGCTGCAGGGCCCAGGGGCTAGGGGACCGTCCCTCCTAGGAAACCTTGCTGCTGAGGGCAGTCCTAAGACTGGGCTACCTTGACCAAAGGCTGCTTGAGTGACAGCTGGGCTGTTTACCCGGGGCTCTCCTGCCCCCCACCTCAAGGCCTCTTCCCTGCCGTATCAGTGGGTAACCACTGCACCCTTATCTGAGCCACACGACACATCATCTGTGTGGTCTTGCTACGCAGTGTTTTCTCCCGCAAAGGATACCGCTGCTACCCAACTTGTTTTGCTGGGTTCAGAATTAGTGCCAAGTGTGCAAAGCCCTTAGCATAGAGTAGGGGCTGACTAAATGTAGCCATCATCATCACGAGCATCACCAACCCCGGGATCACCATCCCCGCTACCATCTCCGTCACCATCATTTCTACCATCAACGTCACCATCACCACCATCCACACCAACCATCCCACCACCATCCCCCTAGCATCATCATCACCACCACCATCCCCCCACCACCATCTTCCCCACTACCATGATCACCACTAAAAATACTGTCACCATCATCACCATCCCCACCATCGCCACCATCACCATCACCATCCCCACCATCACCATCCCCACCATCCCCACCATCCCCATCACCATCCCCACCATCACCATCACCATCCCCACCATCACCCCCCACCATCTCCATCCCCACCACTATCATCACTCTATCACCAATACCACCACACGACTCTTATAGATAAGAGAACTGAGAACACAGAGCAAGGAACACACAGGAGGTCTCAAACTCAAATCTTCTGCATCCAAGTTCAGCCATCTCTCTGTCCTACCACGACTCCCCCCAGCACATCACGCACAACTTTTCCATCAGCACGATGTCAGCATCTGCCCAAGGTTTGTCAGAGGGTGCCACAGAGAAGTCAGGCAGTGGCTACATGATTTGGACCCGTTCCCTCTCTGACCTCACTGGCCCCTACTCCCTGGCTCGCTCCCTCACTCCCACCACACTCTCCTCCAAGTCCTCAGACACCGCAGGCACCTTCCCACTGAGGCCCTCTGCTCCAGCTCAGGAGTTAGCGAACATTTTCTGTAAGGGCCAGATGGAGTCTCTGGGTCACAGACAATATGTAAACAAATGGGCTGTATTCCAGCAAAACTTTATTACCAAAGCAGACAGCAGGCTGGATTTGGCCCCACTGGTCTGAGGTTGCCTAAGTTTATCTGCCTGGAACCCTCTTTTCTCTCCTGGGGAGAAAACATCTTCAGGGTTAACCCCTTCGCCTCCTTCAGGTTTTTGCACAGATCTCACTTTCTCCGTGACGTTAACCCTGACTGTCCTTTCTTTTCTCTAATAAATAATTTGAAGTGAAATAAATACAGTAAGAAATTAACCAGTTTTAGATGAACAACTAAGTGGAATCCAGAACATTCACAATGTTGTGCTACTACCACCTCTATCTTGGTCCAAAACATTTCTTTCCCTCCAAAGTAACACCCACCGATCACCCTTTTTAATGCTACGACTGTGCCCGCCTCTCCTGAACCCTCTCTTTCTTTTTCTTTTACTTTTACTTTTTCATTTCCCTTGTCCTTACCACCTTGTAACATTCTGCGTGGCTTGCGTATTCTGTTCATTGCTTCTTCCCTGTCTCTGCCCCGCCTTCCATGAGAATGTAGGCTTCATGAGGGCAGGGATCTTGTTTCCTCCCCTGCTACTCCCCAAGCACCCAGAATGGTGCCTGACACTGAGTAAATGCTCTGTACATCACTGATGAATAGACAGATCAACAGATGGAGAGACAGGCCCGGAAGAGAAGAGATGATTTCCAAAGGGACTTTAAAATAAACACACACATCAAAAAACACATCACACACCATAGTCTTTTCTGAGCCTGAGTTTTCCTCCCTCAAAATGGGAACACAGACGGTGTCTGGGTGGCTCAGTCGGTTAAGCGTCTGCCCTTGGCTCAGGTCATGATCCCAGGGTCCTGGCATCGGGCCCTGTGTCAGGCTCCCTGCTCAGCTGGGAGCCTGTTTCTCTCTCTGCTCCTCCCTCCAGCTCTGCTCTCTTTCGCTCTCTAAAATAAATAAATAAAATCTTTAAAAAACAAAGTGGGAACACAACGGTCTTCCCTGGGAGGGGCAGGGTGCAGACAGCCTCCCCTGCCCTTCCACCCGGTTATGTCTCCTCCTATCCCCGCATCGGCTATCCCAACCCTGAACTTAGAGCCCCTTCTCCCTGGGCAGCGTGGAAAGAGAAGGCAGGGGCTCTGATCAAACAGGCAGGGTTGGACTTCTGGCCCTTCTGTCTGTGAGCTGAATGACCATAGGCCACCTTGCCAACCTCTCTGAGCCAGTTTCCTGATTGGTATAAATAATGTCCAGATGCCCTTTGTGAGGGTCAGACAGAGCATGTGCTTAAAGCCCTAGGACTGTACCAGGCACCAGATAGGTACTAACATGATTTAAACCCTGTTGCTCCCCATCACAGCTCCCTACACCTCCCCACCCTGGGGCTTCCCACCTTTTTCTCTCTCCCTCTGTGTCTCTTTAGGAGTTTAGAGAAATTTCCTTCAGGAGAAAGCAGACACCTCATCCTTTTGCAAAAAAATGTCCTTTCCAAGGAAAACCATATTTCAAATGTATTTTGGGGCTTACTACACTTTGTCCACACTGGTTTTCACAGTTGAGGAAGTTTGGCCACAAAAACTAACTTTTCACTGCAAAAGTCATCCTCTTCTCTCAGCAAAGCCCAAATTTGGTTACTTTTGTCTTCAGTATGTTTTCTCTTGGTTAAAGAAGAGAAAGGCTGGATTGGGGGTGGGGGGGTGGCGAGCTGACCCCTGAGAAAAGCCACTGGCAGCTGAAGCTGGCCCCTGCGGCCCAGCTGTGGCTATTTGGTTGGAGAAATAAACAGGACTATTTGCTCAGGAAAAAATGCCCCAATTTTTCATAGGATATTCGTAAAAATATTTGCATTTCCCTGTGAGTAATAATTACTTCTGCTGCCCCAAGAATGTTTGCATCACCTACCTAAAAGAAACTGAACAGACTCTTTAGAAATCCTTCCCAACCAAATTCCACCCAGCAACCTGGGTATGTGATAATGAAGATATGACAGCCCATGGAAGGGCTGGGAGCTCTGAGGTACAGATAGGAAAGGGAGAGCCCGGCCCTGGCCTGAGTGCTTCAGCTCCTTTTTATCTGAGCGTCAAGATGCCACAGCAAAATAGATTTACTGTGCACATGAGGAAACAAGCCCAGAGAGGCCAAGTATCTGGCCCAGGGTCACACAGCCACTAAGTGGCTAAGCTGGGATTTGAACCTCAGAATGCCTGATTCGTAACTCCCAGTCCATGTGGCTGACACGGAGTTAGTTCAGGGGATACATGAGAACTGGGCCCTCAGAAAGTTTTCCCAAAGTCTAAGACCACATAAGCCCAAAACCAGCACAGCACAGATGGGGCTAGAGAGAGAAGAATTTCCAGTGCCAAGGTGAAGTTTCCCAAACTGGGGTCCAGAAGACAGTTCTTGATTCCCCTCTACCTATACCCAAAACATGCTTCTCCCCTAGTCTCCCCTTCTCAGCAAATGACATCACCATTCTCCCAGCCACTTAGGCCAAAAACCTAGGTATCATCCCTGATTCCATCTTCCTCCTGGCCTCAGTGGTAAGCAGCCTCCAAGACGGCCCAGTGATTCTTGCCTTCTGGTATTCACAGCCTCCATGGTCCCCTCCCACACTGAACCCATGTGACCAACAGGATGTTGGTGGAGGTGATGGAGTAGGACTCTGAGGCTGGTCATGAAGGTCATTGTGCCTTCTGCCCTGCTCTCTCTTGGCTCATTTGCTGGAAGGGCACTTGTGTAGACCTATGAAGAGGCTCAGGCAGGGAGGAGCTGAGACCTCCTGAAAACAGCCAGCCTTCATTTGCCGACCATGTGAATGAGCCCCCCTTGGAAGTGGAGCCTCCAGCCCCAGTCAAGCCTTTGGATGATGGCAGCCCCAGCCAACATCTTGACTGCAGTCTCATGAAAGACCCTGAACCAGAACCACCCAGCTAAGTCACTCCTAAATTCCTGACCCACAAAAACCATGAGACAACAAATGTTTGTCATTCTAAGCTGCTAAGTTTGGGGTAATCTGTTACACAGCTACCGCTAACTAACCCTGCCTTCTACCTGCAGCCATCCATCAAGTCCCACCATGCCCAATATGGACATATTGACTCTGCCATCTCCCTTCTCCTCCATGGCCACTGACTGGGGCCAAGCCACCATCACATCCCATAGGATGACAGCAGTAGCCTCCTGACTGGCCTCCCTGCCTCCACCTGCTTCCTGCCCAACCCATTGTCCATTACAGCCTGTGGCCTTTTACGAAGACAAACTACTTCCAGTCCTTCCAATGGCTCCCCATGGCCCATGGGATGAAACCTGAACTCTACCATGAGCTACAAGGCCCTGCAGGCTGAAGCCCACCTGCCCCCCTCCCCGGCCTCACCTCTGGGTTCACTCGGCTCCAGCGGCACTGGGCTGTCTTTTGTTCCTCAGATATACCAGCTCTTCCTAGTCTGAGCTGATGTCCTGGCTGTTTCTTCTGCCTGAAACACTCTTCCCATGACTCTACCTTTGGTTTCCAGCTGAGAAGTCACCTCCTCTCGAGGCCTTCACTGATCACTCTGTCTACTGGGCACCCTCATTATTTCCATCACCACATCTTGTAGATTCCCTTTATAAACTATAATGACCTGAAATCATTTTATTCATTTATCTATTAATCCTGCTTACTACCATCCACTCTTCTCAGCCCCTTAGGTTATTTTTTGGAAGCCGGCACCTTGACTATACCCAGTGCCTGGCACCAAGCAAGTACACAATAAAATGTTGTTAAATGAAGGACTAAGTGAACTTCCCGTCTTAATGTGAGCAAGAAAAATCCCCTATCATTTCAGACCTTGGAATTCCCATCAAGGAGTCCTGGCCATGTGAGCCTGGCTGTGCCTTCCCCTCTCGGGACCTCAGTTTCTCCAGATAAGGAGCTGGGTGGAGGAGCTCTCAGATCCTATGCATCCTTGTGATGCATCTGCAAGCAGTTTAGTCACATTCCGGGGAAGGGAAAGGAACCCTTTGCTGTGTGCTCCTGGAAGCAACTAGAGGGCCTCACCCTGGGGTTCTACAGAACTGGCACTTGGTCCTTAAAGACCCCCCTCAAGGCAGCATCTCTGCAGAAAGAACGGTCTCCTTTAAATTCCTGACCCAGTAAAGCTCACGGGCTACTTCTCCCACGAGCACACTGGTAAGCTGAGAATGAGCCATGGCACCTGTGTTCCCTGCAAAGGCCTGGGGAACCGCCCACCACCGGCTGCCTTGAACTGTGGCCCCGGCTATGCTTGCGTGGCCCACAGAGACGGGCCGGGCATATGGTACAGACCGCACCGTAGGTGACCACTCACAGGAGACTAAAGACGGTGTCTGGGGAAGGGGAGCATCCAGCTGGGGACTTACAGAGGCAGGGTCTATGCTGGGGTCCTAGGCCCCCAGGACTACTTTCCCTCTGTACCTTCTCCTCCTAAGGAGGAGATTACTCTGCAGGGACAAGCCAGTTGGCCTTACAAAGTCTTCCTCTGAAATGCTTCCTTAATTGTGAAATGGCCAAGGACAGCTCTTTTGGCAGATTAGATTTCTACCCTTAGGAATTCAGAACCAAATTTGAATGCAAAAATCAGAGACTGCCACGAGGAGACAGTGAGTAGAACACGGTGGTCTGAGCTTCCTATTGATGCTGCAACAAATTACCACAAATTTAGTATCATGAATTTATGATACTAAATTTCTGGAAGTCAGAAGTCTGAAACTGGGCTAAATTCACGGTGTGTGCAGGGCTGGTTCCTTCTGGAGGAGACTCTGTCCCCTCACCTTTTCCAGCTTCTAGGGGCCGCCCTACATCCTTGGCTCGTGGTCCCTTCCGTGGTCTTCAAAGCCAGCAGACTCATCACTCTGACCCCTGCCTCTGTCATCAAATCTCCCTCAGCCTCCCTATTGTCAGGACTCTTGTGATGACACTGGCCCACCTGGATAACCCAGGATAACCTCCCCATTTCAAGATCCTTAACTTCATCACCTCTGAAAAGTCCCTTTCACCATGCAGCTAACATACAGGTGGCATGTGGACATCATCATCTTTGAAGGACCCTTATGCAGTTAACAACAGTGGTGACTAAGATTCTATGCTCCAGGGGCACCTGGGTGGCTCAGTCAGTTCTGTCCAATTTGTGTCTGATTTCTGCTCAGGTCATGATCTCAGGGCTGTGAGATCGAGCCCCATATCGGGCTCCGTGCCCAGCACAGAGTCTGCTTGTCCCTCTCCCTCTGCCCCTCTCCCCACTCGCGTGCACACTCCCTCTCTCAAATAAATAAATAAATAAATAAATAAATAAATAAATAAATAAATAAATAAATAAATAAGACCATATGTTCCAGAGCCAGACTGCCTGGCTTCAGATCCCTGCTGTGTCCTTTCCTAGCTGTGCCACTCTGGGCATATCACTCAACCTCTCTCTGCTGTAACTGATTCCTTTGTGCCTCACGGACAGAAGTCCCGAGATGATGCGTGTAAAGCATTTGGCACAGTGAAGACAGTTCAGTGAAAGAGGGCTGTAATTATCCCCTTCTCTCCACCAGACTCAGAACTAATGGATGTCAGAGCTGGGAGGGGCCCCTCACTGAACGGCTAGGGACAAAGAGGCCCAGAGGGGAGAAGTGAGTCATGCAGGTCATACAGCATTTTCTCTGACAGCTTCCCATTACCCTCTAACCAGCACCTGGCACAGACTAGCCTGAAGGAGGAGGGTTTGTCAGGGTGGATGTCACGCCCCCAGCACCCTGCCCTGCACCCAGTACAGGCTGGAGGTCACGGCAGCCAGCGAGTCACACGGAGGAGGAGGGAAGTGCTCCCTAGCGGACCATCTGCAGGAAGCACCTGCAGGTGGCGGCCCCAGCCAGAACCTCACATGCCCAGTTCCCACCCCACCCACCAGGCTCAGGGGCCAGAGTGAGACACAACGCATCTTTCTCCAGAAGAGGTCAGCAGGACTAATCTTGGCTAGGAACACAGAGACCCATGATCAGGGCCAAGACAAAGCACTCTGGAGCGCAGATGTCAGCCAGGCCCCTTGTTTCTCCATGTGACCTCAGATTGGACACCTTTGGGCCTCCATTTCCACCACAGAAGAGCAAGGTGCTGGACAGATCTGTGGTCCTCTATCTGCAATCCTGATTTCCAGCATCCAGGAGACCCTGACCAACTTTCAGTGAGTTCTGGAAGAGCCGTACATAGACACCAAGCTGAAGCACCTGCCCAACTTGCTTGTCTAGGCATCAAAGTTCATCGGTGTGTGCAGTTCAGGCTGAACAGACCTGCTCAGAGGTGTCTGCGATTAACAAAGAGGGGGAAACGATGATTCACTTCACTCTGATGGCCTGTTTAGCAGGCAAATTCCTCCACAAAAGGAGAGAGGAATCACCATGGGTCCTTGGCAGAAGCTCAGTTAGGCGCTGTTTCTTCCAACCAGAGGGCTGACTCACCCCAAAGGCTTTCCCCTCCCATAAATCTGGCCTAGGCAGGCACTGCCCCAACAGTTCAATTTCCCCCACCATCACACTGTCCTTGAACTGACACCAAGGACTCCTAGAAAGACCTTTCCAAAGCTCTATACGGGCCTCTCCCAGGCTCAGGGACAGCTGAGAGTAGACTTTTGAACAGAAAGATGCCCAAAGTGGGGTGGCCTCCAGGGCCAAAGCCAGGCCTTCACTTATTTCCTCACTGAGAAAAGTATTCTTCTTGCCCCAGGGCCTTTGCAGATGCCATCCCTCTGCCGGATATATATCCAGTATCATTGTTTATTTTTAAAGATTTTATTTATTTATTTGAGAGAGAGAGAGAGCAGAAGTAGGGGGAGGGAGGGGCAGAGGGAGAAACAGGCTCCCCGCTGAGCAGGGAGCCCAACATGGGGCTCAATCCCAGGACCCTGAGATCCTGACCTGAGCCAAAGGCAGACGCTTAACCGACTGAGCCACCCAGGTGCCCCAGTATCATTGGTTTTTGTTTTTTTTGTTTTTTGTTTTGTTTTTTTTTTTAAAGATTTTATTTATTTATTTTAGAGAGAGAGAATGAGAGACAGAGAGCATGAGAGGGAAGAGGGTCAGAGGAAGAAGCAGACTCCCTGCCGAGCAGGGAGCCCGATGCAGGACTCGATCCCGGGACTCCAGGATCATGACCTGAGCCGAAGGCAGTCGCTTAACCAACTGAGCCACCCAGGCACCCCCCAGTATCATTGTTTTTAATGACACATTTCAAGCTTAAAGAGAATAAAAATTTTTTAACATGTATCCTCACAGGTTTTGTCAAAATAATGCATTGAGTCTGCACTGAGAGACACATAGGTTATTATTTCCAAATTTCTTACCATCACAAATAAGGCTGTTCAGAGCACTCTAATGCACATCACCCCCACTTCACTGGCCAAGTGTTCACGTCTCACTTAGTGTCACATCATTCCTTGAACCCCCTTCCCATCAATCCAAGAGTTACGTCTCCACCTTCCTCTCCCACTGCTCCCCAGTCTTTCCTTCAAAGCACATTTCATAACTTGTGTCTTCATCAGGTTCCCATCCAAGAGGACAGGGACCACATCCCTCTTGCTCACCAGGGACCAGGGCCGAGGATGCTGCCTGGCACACAGTAGACGTCGGTGTCTGTAAATAAGTAAGTGTTTGCATGAACGACTGAGCAGAGGCGTCACTCCAGAAGCAGGCCGTGCTGTGCTCTTTTCCGCTCAGGACTCAGAGATGAACCTGGCGCGTCTCCCACCTGCCCCCTGCTCTGCCCTCAGGTTCCTGCTGCTTCTGAGAGCCCTGGGCCCGGAGCAGGGAGCCCTGGCTCCTCACAGCCAGATGCCAGGTGCTATCTCAGGCACAGCAGGTCTGGGGAACACGCCTCCCTTGGCCTTGCCTGGTCATGAAAAGCAGGCGCTCAGGGAACCCAGAGCCGGGCCAGAGTCTGCACCTCATCCCTCGCATCCCTGCGCAGCTGGAACGGACCAGCCCCCATCTGCTGGCCGTACCTGACCTTGGGGTCAGGCCAAGGAGCAGGGCTGGGCAATGTGCCTTCACTTGCTACCAATCACTTAAAGTCTCTGTTTCCAAGCTTCCTGAGAAAGTGCTGGATGCACAAAACTGAGGGGTGGCTAAGAAAATGATACGAATAACAGCCACTCGCTGCTATTCCTGAGCAACGTTCTTCATAGGCCGACCTGCCTCCATCCTGCGACTCGACAAGGCAGGTCTGGCTCTGACGGAAGAGAAAACTGAGGAATGGTGAGCCGTGATTTTTATCTGCCTTTTTATTTCACTTCCCCCCCTCCAGCTCATCATTACAGCCTGTAACCTAAGTCCCAGGGGCAGGGCTCAGTCAGGGTCTGGCCAAAACCCACAGAAATCAGAGCCCTCCTCCTTGAGAAACATCTTGGGCCCACACATGTGAGGTACTTCCTGTCTCCTCACTTTAATTCTGACACCAGCTCCTGAGGTTTGACTGCCCAGCCCCATTTCAGAGGTGAGGAAACTGAGACTCAGGGTCCTGTCTTTGGTAACCGTCAGGAATGGTAGAGTCAGGATTCCAACCCAGATCCTTCAAAAAAACAAACCCCTCAGCCAAGGCCCTGGAGCAGGGAGCCCTGGGAGCTAGAAGGTCAGAGGCTCCGACTGAAACACAAGGCAAGTCACATGGGCAATTTTAAACTGGCTGGGAGCCACCTTAGAAGGGAAAGCGAAACAAGTAAAATTAATTTTAATAACGTACTTTATTTAACTCAATAAATCCAAAATGTTACCATTGCAACATGTAATCAGCATAAAAAAGTGTTAATGAGACATTTTACCCTTTTTTCATACTAAGTCTTGGAAATCCAGTGTATATTATATGCTTATGGCACATCCCAGTTCAAACTGGCCACATTTCAAGGGCTCCCTGGCCACACGTGGCAACGGGCTACCGGCTTGGCTGGGGCATATCTAGAGCAGCAGAGAAGCACGGAGAACCAGGGGCGACTCATTCACGTCCTCCCCCTCTACCTACTCACACTTGCTGCGTGCTTGCAACGGGCCAGGCGGCAGAAGCAAGCCCCACGCCCGTGACTTTACACGGGGAGGGGGGCAGACACAGAAAGGGTAGCACTGAGGGGCACCACGCCCCAGTGGCTCAGTCCCAGAGTTTCACATCCTGTCCCCCATAAGGACATGGTTGGTCATCTTTCAGGGCCAGAGCCCCTGAACTGAGGTTTGGAAAACATAGGCATGTCACACCCTCTCTCCTGGACTTCCGGATCATGACCACTCCCCCTCCTTGCTAAAGAAAACTTGGCACACGACCTCCTGGTATCACTGTCATCCTCAGACCCTAAGGGAATCCTTCGAGTTTGTCCAGACCTGATGCAGAAGCTCCGCTCCCCACCCACCGGCAGGCAGAGGCTGATGGCAAAGGCGGTGGAAGTCGCTCGGGTGTGTCCCTGCAGGTGGCAGGGCTGAGGCAGCTGTGATTGCCCAGCTGCCCTAAAAGGTAGGGCCCAAAGGTCTCCTCTCCCTGTAACTGCCACCAGGCCTGAGCCTGGCAGCAAGTCTTCCCGGAAAGGCAGGAAAGGAAGGGAGGGAGGAGAAGGGGAAGGGAGCTGCCCAAAAGACTCTCATTAAGAGAACTGCTCCGTCTGCAAATTCCCGGCAGTCTCATCCGCTTGCACGGAGGGAGCACCTCGGTGGGGGTGGGGGTTGTCAGGCCCCCACCCCTACACAGGGACGGGGCCCGGAGCAGGCTCTCCGCAGACAGCTGGTGACAGGACAGCAGGGGACGCTGAGGACAGTGTTGGGTGCTGGTTAAGGACTCGATACCTGGAGTCAGGGGCAGGTCATTGCGCGTGGCCACTCACTAGTTCAGTGACCTTGGGCCAAACACTCTCTGAGCCCAGGTTGCTGCATCTCTGAATGAAATAGGAACATTTACTTTGCCACTCAGGGTTGGGAGGAATGATTGAGAAAACACGTACCTCTCGAGCGCACTCAGTGCCCAGTGGGTGCTCAATCCATAGCAGCTCTCGCTGTCATCCCCGCTGGTCACCGAGAACCCACCACTTAGCCCTGCGCCTTTCCTCTCCATGTTTATTGCTCCGTGGGCTGCATCTCGCTCCCTGGGCCCATCAGCCAGGGCTGCCCAAGGCTGCCTCTCGAGCTGTTCTCAGGCACTCAACACAGTCCAGACCGACCCCCAAATTCCAGGTAACATCACACTGCCCGGCCTTTGGGATCCAGAAAGGCGGCTGGAGTCAATCCCTGCAGGCATGCTAACACACCTGCAGGAGCCAGGCAACCCCTCTGGCACTTGAGGGTAAGCCAGGATCCTGGGTCCGCCCCGGGACGGTGCACCGCACACCATGCAACCCTGGGTGGTGAGTGGATTAGAGATGCCCCCTCCAGCCTCAAACCCTGGAGACACCCAGATCTTCACTTTCCCTCCGTGCCTTACATTCCACACCGAGTCCATCCCTAAGTGTTTGGGGCTAGCTCAAAACTCATGCCTGTGCCTTCCTTCTGTCTCCACTTCTGCCACCTGAACCAGGCCAGCATCCTCTCTTGCCCCTCAACTGGACCAGCCTCCTTCCTGCTCTGCCACCTCTCTGTCCTCGCCCCCTTCAGCCTATCTCCACCTGGCGGCCAGAGTTGGCCAGACCCAAATCAAAATCATGGGATTCTCTCACTTAAAGTCCTCCAATGACCTCCAACATCCAACTGCCTTGCTCAGCCTGCATCCATACCTGCCTCTCTGCTCGGCCCCTGTCAGCCCCTCGGCCCCTGTCGGCCCCAGACCCGCATGCCACTGGACAGCCCGACCTCCTCCCGTGCCCAGCTCTGGGTCTGCTCCAGCCATGCTTCCTGCCCCATCGTCCCACGAGGGCTCCTTTCTGACACCTGTTCTCACGTGCCCCCCACGGAGGCTCCCTGGGCCCGCCCCAGCATAACACCTCCCCTTGCAGAGACTGTCCCCCCACCCCCCGGTGTCGAATCCTGCTTTATCTCATCAACTCTGCAGTATTCATCACTATCAGGAATTATTCCTGTTTGTGTATTTATAAATTGTTTCTCTCCACATGACACGATCTTATGTGCTTCCTGGTTCACGGCCCGTCTACTACCTCCACCCAAGGGCAGGATGCAAGTCCAGACAAGGTGAAAAGTTAGCCCTCCATAAATGCATGTGACTGTCCTCCTACTCGCTGAGCCATCTTGAGATGGTCACATCTGAGCCCCTCTGAGCCTTGAGCTCCCACTTGTAAAATGCCACCTCCTATCACTGACCCCGAGGGAGGGTGGGGAGAGGGAGGGGGGCATCAGGGAAGGAGGAAGGGAGCAGATACGGTCACCACCAGAACAACCTTTGCCCGAGTGACAGCGTCCACAAGCCGCAGCGGGGCAGGGGGGGGCGTTGGTCACCCTGGTGACCGGCGGCTCCTCCAGAGGCCCCCGATGGAGCCCCCAGGGAACCCCAGATCTCTGTGTAGAAGGAGTCTGACAGGCCCCACCCAGTTCTCGGCTCCTGAACTCTGCTGCCTCCGCTCAGACACCTGGAAAGACCTGCTTTCTGGCCCCAAGAAGTATTTACGTTTTGATTAAGTCTGGTTTTAAACCACCAGGTAGGCTGGCTGGAGGCCGATGCACCCCAGCCAGTCCAGCTGTAATAACACAGTGCACCGGGTTGGAGGTGGGGGGCAGGTAACAACGGTGGGACCGGGGGAGGAATCACCAGGGTTCCAAGCGGCCCCCAACGCCACCCTCAGCCTAAGCCGCCTGCCAGAGAAAAAGGGCAACCCGCTCCCATGAACAGAGGCGGGAAGGACTCCGGGGAGCCCTGGAGTTCTGCCCTGGAAATAAACATGCAGGGCAAGGAGCACAAGATACTCAGACCAATCCCGGCCTCCCAGGCAGCGACCGCTCCCCTCGGGCTGCCCCCACTCCCAGTAAGAGCCTCCTTCCACCACGTGGTGTCTCACCCAGGAAGCAGGAAGTGGGTCCATTACAAACTGGGGACTTGCACCAAGTCACATTTTTATCCTGTTGGATGTATTCTGAGGACTCCACTGACCATCTACAGTTACGAGGCCCCAGGAGGCTGGGACTGAGCCCCAGTATAGATGTTACTATCTTCCTGTCTCCTTGAAAGTGTGATTCTGGAGGAAGTTAAGTACACATCCCAAAGGAATGTGTACTCCTGAATTCAAAATGCCCACTAGCTAAGACATGCCTCATCACCCACTCCCTGCCACCCCACCCGGAAAAGGAAAACGTCCAGGCAACTAACAAAGGCATCTTTCATTCATTTCCGGGCCCTTCCACAGGAAATCAAGTTTCCTCGGCAGAAAGCAGGATTTCTGTTTGTACCACATGGAGCTACAATCGCAAAAAGATTTCATTAAGCCTAGGAGCTCCAAACAGATGGTGGTGTCTGCCTGGAGTACCCGGACTTAAGGAAGGCCTCAGTGGACAGGACTGTGATAATTGATTAGCAATGTCTCACAGGCAGGGAGAATAGTGTGCGACACGTTTACCATTTAGGTTTAGCTAGGAAGCAAAACCAGAAGGGGAATTCAGAAAACCCAGGACTCAACTGGCAAGGAAACATGGTCAAAGTAACCCAAAAGGAGAGCCAGGGGCTTTTGGAGGACCAAAGAGCCACTGGCAATTTCTAGGGCAAAGGGACAAATCACTCCCCGAAAGATCAAGTCACTTCCTCAGCAGCTGTCAGATGGGACGTGTCCCAGAGCCACTCGCATCTGGGTTATCGCTCAACCTACAATCCACTCTCAGCTCCTCAGAGGGACACAATTCCAGACTTCTCCAGGAGATGAAAGGGTATTTGACCTTTAGGGCCCAGAAATAAATATCCAGTTATGAACACAGTTTGCTGCTGATGGGGAGGCCGTGGTGGGGTGGGTCTCCCTGACAACAGACGTCCCATTTAAAGACAAGGAACAAGGAGCAGCTGGGCCACAGAATGTTTCCTGAGCAGACATCCAGGAGTCAGAGCTGTGCACAAGGAGGGTTCACAGCAGGAGAAAATGACAGGTCCTCCTAGCAGAGCACCATCAGTGTTTTTTTAGGACAAAGTAGGCACCGCTGCCTATGTTTCCACCTCAACATGAGGCCCAAGGAAAAGGCTCCCAACATGACCGCCGGAGGCAGCCTTCCCAGGAAAGCCAACCCCTGGGAGGTTTTCTAGCTGGGTTCACAGTTTGAGAAGCATAGCTAACGAAGGAAGGGCTTGGAGGTGAACAACATGGATAATTACAGGGTTGGAAGGAGGGTGAGTTCAAGGAGGCCGGCATCCCTCAGCCAGCCATCCAAGGGTAACTTCCAGGGAAAGTGAGTTATTTCCCAGAGGAGCAAAGGAAAAGTCTCCATATCTACAGAACAAAAGACTCTGTAGAAATGAACTCCTACTGCAACACAGTGGATTTACGCCAAGACCGGAGGGGAACGTTCCAGAACATATTACATGAAATTGGAGGAGGAGGCTGTCACTGCACTGTCATGGGGTCTGAGGTGTGGAGATCAGGGGGACATCTATCTGGGGTAGCCCCAGCTCACCTCTGATGAACTGCATGACCTCGCCAGGCCACTTCCCCTCCCCAGCGGTGAGCTTCCTTCTCTACAGGACAGGAAGAACATTCCCCACCCCGTGTCGCTCGTGGGATTGCCGTGAAAGAAGCCAGATGTCAGAGAGCAGACATGAGGGGACTCCACTCCTTCAGCATCCAAGGGTGGGCAAAACCAACCCCTGGTGTTAGAACCACCTTGGGGCAGGTGGTGACTAGAAAAGGCTCCAGCAGGTGGTCTGCGTCCAGGATGTGTGCACCTTGGGAAAACCCAGGTCGTTATGGCTTCTGTACTTTTCTACATGGACCATCCGCCTCAATGAGAAGCTTGCTCGGAAAAACTGTCTGGAACTCTTTTGTAAATCTCTAGGTCAATATAGTAATATATGGGATAAAGTTCTAGAACACAGGTGCTACTGATCCCCTCGGAGCAGAAGGCAGGTGAGACGATCTCCTGATGTCCGATTTCGTCCCGTGATTGGGAGGAAGCAGAGGGAAACTTGTCCCCTTTCTGGGACTATGAGTTTCTAAGCTGAGCCACTGTTAGGAGGCAGCAGGGGCAGCGCCTGCCCACCGCTAACTGCACCCTGACGTCTTTCTCCAGCCTGGGCTGCCACTCCCCATCCCCATCCCCACAATACACATTGTTGCCTGCTCTTCTTGGGCGCAGGCTCCTGCCTCTGGCTGGAGCAGCTCCCAGCAGTGCTGACCCCAGACTGGGGGTCCAATCGTGTGGCTCGTCCTCTGGAAGGTAACACTGGTCTTCAATTAAATGTCAGTGGTGCGTCCTACAAAACAGAATATTTGTTTTCTCCTCCCTCCTTGGCCTACTTCCTGTGCACCTTGCGATTTTAAAAACCCAGCTGCCAACTCACAAGTACTTGTGGTGCCCTGGTGCCTGGGCTCAGAGGGCAGGCAGATTTTTCCACTCCTCAGCAGCATTTTGCTTGAGGGAGAACGCCACTCGGAGTTTGAAGAAAAATCCAAAGTCCTGAAACAGGAGCATTTGCAATGGGCTGCTCGCTGTCACTGGAGCTGGGCGCATGGTGAGGAGAAGGGGCCGCTTTGATGGGGGTGGCACACGGGAAGGCGCTCCGTCACAATGTCATCATGAGGTCAGAGGCACCTTCTCTTATCCAAACCTCACTGACAGCATGAGAGCTTGGCTAGACCATGGCTTTCACATGATTTCACGAGGGCCCCACAGCGTGCCCCGGGCATCCCTTAGGAACCATTCAAGTGAGCAATTTCGCCTGAACAACAGGTTTCTAAGCAATTTAAAAACAAGTTCAGAAACTATTGATTGGAGGAACTTAAAGCCAGGATTCTGTGTACTGTGGTCTGAAAGATCACCCCCAGGATGGGCATCTCGGTCCCTGTCGGAGCTTCTCGGCACACCAGGGCTGTGGCCTGCGTAAGAAAGAACAGCTCTCTGCTGTTTTCTGTGGCCTCTCAATGACCCACTGGGATGCAAGCTCCTGGGGAAAGAGTCTGCCTTACTCAGCAGGAGTAGTTCAATAATCCTGATGAACGAGTGAGTGAGCAGATGAGCAAAGAGCACTGACCCCAGGGGGCTGCACTGTGAGGATCAAACAAGAGATCACGTGTACACAGTAAGTGCTCAATAAACACCAGCTGAGACTCGAACTGGGGTCTGTGCAATGTTCTCTCACCACCATTAAGTCAATATGATCAGAGAGTCCCACCCCGTCCTGGCACACAGCAGCATCCTTGCGCGTGACTTCAAACGTACTTATTCCCTAAAGGTAAAAACTAAGTTTGGGGCTTATTTATTTTTTTTAGAACTCTCTGAAAGCCCCCCAGAATAGTGACCAGCCCGAGGCACAACCCAAGAACAATGAGCGGATAAGCGCCGAGCAAAGGCACCAGGCACCTGTGAAAGGCAAGGAAGAGGTCCTCGAAGACAGTTCCTTCTTGGCTCGGCGAAGCAGCTCTGCACCTACCAGCACCCATGGGAGCCGTGGTCACACCCTCGGCGGTCGAGGCATTCAGCTCAGACCCACTCACCCAGCCACAACCGGAACGGCTGATCCCAAAAGAGGCCCACGTCCAGACACCCGTCTTTCCGAGGATGCCAGGCATGTAGCTAAAAGGGTGCACAGGCTTCACTGAGTTTCCTGCTGAATTTGGTGACACCTGGGAAGTCCAAAGGATCCCTCCTTTGCCTCTGATGCCAGCTCACAGAAGTGGAAGAGATCGATCCACAGGAAACGTAAAGATGATGGAGAAAAACTCCCCGTCGGATCACCCCCCCAGGCCTCCCCACCTGCCCACTGCTGGCTCCAGCGGGCCCCGTCATGTAGTTCTCACTACCTGAGACCCTGTACGCCAAATCCACCCACCAATTTAACGTCTACTCATCCCTCAAGGGCCAACTCAAGTCTCACTTCCACAAAGCTTCTCCCTCTACCCGAGTCAGGGACCACCTTTCCTGTCCCTCTTGCTTTGCTACAACCCTCCCCATCTATCCTGAGTGCACTTACTAAATAAACACACTCCCATCTCAGACTTGCACAGCACTGGGCTTGCTGCCAGGAAGACGGGGATGAAAGCCCCCTCCCTCCTTACAGGAGCCCAGTCTAGAAGACAAGACAGACATGGGAGCAGAGGATTATGCCCAACAAGAAGATCTACGGGACCTGCATGAACAGAAGGCTGTAGAAACACAGAAGGGGACAACAGAGGACCCAGAAGGACAAGTAGGTGTCCGCCAAGCAGAGGGTGGGAGAGCACTCCAAGCAGAGAGGGATCCTTGGGGATGGCTGGATCAGGGGGTACCTGGGAGGGAGAGGAGTCTGGGGAGAAGCTGGAGCCAGCTTGTGGAAGGGAGGCACGTCAGATGCAAGCTTTGGAGACATCGTGATCTTGGCAAGACCAGGAGGCATGTCAGGGGCTACTTCAAAGGTCCAGGAGAGAGAGGGAATGAGACTGAACCAGCAGAGTGGCAGCAGAGGTGACAGAAGGGGACCGAGGCATGAGAAGGGGCAGGCGACATTCTTCCAGAAGCCGTTCAGCACTTAGGAGGTTTTCATAAGCAAACTCCTCCACTAAGCAAGTGTTCTTTGTGAGCAGCTTAGACCAGCTTTTCTATTTTTTTTTAAAGATTTTATTTATTTATTTGACAGAGAGAGACACAGTGAGAGAGGGAACACAAGCAAGGGGAGTGTGAGAGGGAGAAGCAGGCTTCCCTCGAAGCAGGGAGCCCAATGCGGGGCCCTGGGATCAGGACCTGCGCCGAAGGCAGACACTTAACGACTGAGCCACCCAGGCGCCCCGACCAGCTTTTCTATTTTACTCGAGCACAGAGCAGCCTCTCAATCATTAAGTAATTACTGGACTCAGTTTCAAATTCTAGAAATATCTCTGAAAAGATGTGCTTGACCTCCCAGACCCTGACAGTGGCTAAACAAAGAACACAGTGGTACAAACTGAAAACAAGAGAACCACACCTAGGCTATCCCAGGGAGACCCAGAGCTCAGCCCTGTGCTTAAAGCAAAACGCCTCCAGGAAGTCAATCAACAAACCACGGCTGGGCCACAGGGAGACATGGGAGGGGAAGGCATGCGGCACAGGGACCAAGGAAGCAGGGAAGCCGCTCCCGTCCAGGACTCCACTCATCCTCATCCGAATGGCTGTGGTTGGTCAAGTCACAAACCCTCGCTGGAACTCTGATCCTACATCCTCCAGAAGAGAACGCAGGGACTGCAAACATGCCCACGGGCTGCTACCCTCCTTGACCCCCACGGTGGGAGCTAAGCCACAAGCCCCTACCCAGCCTAGAGCACCAGCTCTCAAAAAGCAAAGATATTAAGCACTTCCTGCCACAGAAGAGAAATGTTTGTTTACAGCCCTCAGCGGCTCCAGCCCCAGGTCTTCAGGAGAGGAAAGGTGCCCAGAAATCCTTGATCACAACAATGACCAAAACAGCTGCAGGCTGGACTTGCAGAGCCCCATCGGAGGCCTGGGGCAGGGTCCCTGAAGGTGGGGGGGGGGGGTGACAGTTCCACAGACACGGAGCTCTAGGTACAGAAGAGCCCCCAGCAGCTCCCACACCACCACCACCAACAACAATACCAACACCAACAACAAAACCCCACCTTACTCTCTCCATCACCCAAAGCCTATTTTTTTAATGAAAAAAAAAATCTTTCAAAATGACAGTTTTGAAAAGAAAATATGCTCCCTTACCATAGTTTCTCATGGAGTTAAAAATACAAGTAAGTGTTGGAGGAAAAAAAGTTTTAAGGTCAAAGGGGAAAAAAAAGTCATGTTTTTTGAAATCTCGGAAAATAAACAGACTCAGGCCTCATGTGCAGGCTCTCTGGGAATGTGACCTGTGGTGCTGCTGGGGGTCGGAACGCCATTTAAAGGAAAGCTCAAGGGCACGCCTGAGGCCGGGGATTAGTGGCTCGGACACTGCATCCCCCTCTCCAGAGGACCAGGCTGCCGGCCACTCGGGACGGGGGTGTCCAGGAGATGAGAAGCTGAGGCGGGCGCGTGAGAAGAGCAAGGGGAACGGAGGGCAGACAGCCCAGCCACCCTGGAAAACAATACCGGGGCCAGCAAGGGTTCCAGGGGCTGGGGCTGGATGGAAGGATGCTCAGCCGAGCAAGCGGGTGATGGGGACACACTCCAGGCAGGCAGCAGCTGTGACACCCGTGAGGGACAGTAGAGCCTCTGCGCACTCAGGGGACGGGGTCACGCTGGGTAGTTCCTCAGCCTGGCCCACCTGCCTCTCGGCAGTAGCCAGAGAACTCACAACAAAGCCAGCCCCAGAGGAAGCCAGGAAGCAGGGCTCAGGGGTCACTCATGCATTCAGTACATATTTATTAATCCTACTTTTTGCTGGATCCTCATCAAGCACTGCAACTACAACTAGACAGCTAGACAAGGCCCTCGTCTGTCTGCACAGAGTTTACATTTTGGGGGCTCAGAGCCCTTCCACTCTTTCCTTCCCCCGCCAACCCTGGTGGACCTGTCAGTCCCATGGGGTACTTACTAATGTGTGTTGAGCCCTCTTGCACACGGGCTCGAGTAAGCCCTGCCCCTCCACCTCCCCCCACCTGGGGTTCGTAAACTCCTGGGGAACTCTGCAGGCAGTTGGGGTGGGGAGGGGAAAAGACCCCACACAGCTGTCCATAGCATGGAGTGCTATTGGCCATCCGTAGAGACACAGCCCCATTCAATTACTGCACACCTCCCACATCCCTAGCTCCGAGCTAACCCTGGGAGCAGGGGACACAGGCGTGGGCTCCATTCCTACCTAGGAGAAGCACCAAGCCCAGAGAGGGAGAACCAAAAGCAAAGGACGAGGAAGCACCTAGGAACAGCAGGGAAGTAGGGCTCAGAGCAGGGCTTTGGAATCTAAACAGGGCTTTGGATCTAAACCTGACCATTTACTAGCTGTGTCTACCTGGGAGAGTCACTTCCCTTCTCTGAATCTCAGGGTCCCCTACAGTAATGTGGAGATGACCATGCCAACCTTGTAGGTACGCATCTGATGACTGACTTGCCACTGGCATTTGACAAAGCAGAACGATGACCATCCTCCTATGTGGGCCTTACAGAAGTGTGAACAACGGTGTGGGAACACAGGGGAGGGGGCCGTGGATTTTGCCAGAGAAAATGCAAAACATTTTAATTAAAAGATGAAATGTCGGGGTGCCTGGGTGGCTCAGATGGTTGGGCATCTGCCTTCGGCTCAGGTCATGATCCCAGGGTCCTGGGATCGAGCCCCGCATCGGACTCCCTGCTCAGCGGGGGGCCTGCTTCTCCCCCTCCCTCTGCTTCTCCCCCTGCTCATATTCTCTCTCTCTCTGTATCTCTGTGTCTCGAATGAATTAAAAAAAAAAAAAAAAAGGTGAAATGTCACTGGGGCAAAACCTAGGATAAGAACATAATTTCTTTTTTTTTTTTTTAAAGATTTTATTTATTTATTTGAGACAGAGAGAATGAGAGAGAGCACATGAGATGGGGGGGGGGTCAGAGGGAGAAGCAGACTCCCTGCCGAGCAGGGAGCCCGATGCGGGACTCGATCCAGGGACTCCGGGATCATGACCTGAGCCGAAGGCAGTCGCTTAACCAATTGAGCCACCAGGCGCCCAAGAACATAATTTCTACAAAAAGAAAAAGTAGAGAAGGCATTCCAAGCCCAGACGAAATAGGCTTTTTTTTCTCAGGGGCCTTTTATGACATTTCCTTGTCCTGAAATGAAAGATCTGTGATGAATAGATGGATGAATGTAGTTTTTCCTCCCTCCCTCTCCCTTTTACTTTCTCCCTCCTTCCCTCCCACTTTCCTTCCCTCCCTCCCTCCTAGTCAACATACATTTATTGAGTACTTACTATGTGCCAGATGCTGATCTAGGCACAGGGGACAGATGAGTGAACTAAACAGACGGCCATCTCCTGGAGCTTACATTTGACCCTCACAACCACCCAGAGTAAGTGTGGCCAAGTATTGTCATCAACCCCGCTTTACAGATGAGAAAAGGCACCACAGGTTAAGAAGCCCGAATTACACGCAAGTGCTCTGAGCCAGAACAGACAAAAGCAAGCCCAATCAGCCTTCACCCCTGACTCCCCACCTCCCAACCTTTCCCACCAAAACCTTCACACCCAGGCAAGGGCATGCGTGACCATTCCCCAAAGTGACCACTTCCAGGGGGCCGCCTGTGTGGCGGGCTGACCGAGACAACAGACTCCCCAGCTCCTTCATTACTCCTGCCAGCCACTCCCAAGGTTCTCTTGTAAATAATCATTTAGACTCCAGAACAACCTTTCCCCTTCAAATTATAGCAAGTTGGAAAGAAGAGTCAACAGAGGCCCCCAAACTCCTGAGAGAACAGGCCTTGCCCTCGGGGTTTAAGGAAGGGCAAGGGGGCCACGGGGTTGTCCGGGCCCTGCGTGTGATTCCACACTGTCCACCGAACAGTTAGACATCGCTGAAGAGCCAATAACAGGCTGCAGTTAGTCCAAAACACCTAACAGACAAAACCACTCTTTTTCCCAAGAGAGGGGCAGATTTTTTTTTTTTTTTTTTTTTTTTTTTTTTGGCAATTCGTCCAGTGAGATTTTAGCTCAAAGGACTTCAATCACTTTGGGAACTCAATTAATGAAAGGGATTATTAATAAATGAGCTCAACATCGCCCTAACGAAATATTAAGAATCCCTGAAGCGGGCTGAAGGGCACAGGGGGTTCTGTACTCTGTCCTCCCCATCTCTGAGTTCCTCTGAAATTTATCAGAGTGAAATGTTTTAAAGGTCCTGATAAACCAACAACATGATAACTTAAAGCTGTGGCGTGAATAAAAATAAAACACCCACTCGGGGTGAATACAAATAATAACCCCCAGATTCGTGGGGTGCTTTGCTCGCCAAAGTGCTTCCACATGTGCGGCATCGAATTTGGACTTTCAAGGAAGGGAGGGGTTATTATTAGCCCCGTTTTGCCGACAGGGAAGCTGAGACTCAGGCTGGCCCTAGGACTTTCTACCAGGAAGCCAAGCCGTGAGGACGTGAACCCAGCCTCAGGAACAATACTCGGACTTCATCTGACCCTGCCCCAGCCTGGAGCAGCTCCCTGCTCCTCTGCTCCTGCCTCCAGGAATGTGGCTATTATCAAACAACCTTGGCAGGGGTTTCTTAATGCTAAAATATTTGGCCCGCCGCCACTCCATTTCCCACGCCACTACCCTACTCCCCCATCCCTGCACGGGATTTCAAGAACTGTGTGGTGGCCCCCACAGGCCACACTGCCTGGGGTATTCAGTGGCTCACGAGGGCTTCCCGGGCCCAGCATCCCATCTTCCCAGCTGGACCTTTCAACCAAATGCTTGTTTGGCCAGTGGAGGGTCCTCCGTATAAAATGTTTCCAGCAACATAAATCAAGTCATCAGAAGGAACACTTCCCCTGACCAGCCTTAACTGTTCCAACCCCAACTCACTTTCCAGAAACCCTGTGTGGGCAGACTGGCCACAGATTCCTCCAATCTCTGCCCCAAAGGCAGGAATCAACCGGGGTCGGGGGGTCGGGGGGGGGTGCTCTTCTCACCATCCGCCCTCTTCCCATTGTACCTTAGGACCAATCCAGAAAATGTTGTAAGTGGTAGTCCTAACCCCATTCATTTGAGACCCATTTGAGAAGATACTAGTTCACTATTGCCCCCCCACACCTCCCCTCCCGGGTCAGTAATTTCTAGTCCCCCCTGCTAAGGCTGCCTCCAAGCCCAAGGTACCCTAAATGCATCAGCCAAAACTGACCCCGTGATGTATGGGTCTGATGACTTCACTTCTGACACCGGCCCTGAGACGTCCTCTATTTGTATACTCAGAACCTCTGTTATGTCTGAAACCTCATAACCTTTTCTGAAGAACACATCGTACCTGTTCTGTGCTCCAGGAGTTTTGCAACTGCCTTCGGCCAAAAGCAACACTGCTCAGAGCCAGATCCCCACGCAGACTAGCAAGGCCTCCTCGTTGCTCAGAGGCTGGAAGCTCGGGATGTCTGCGTTCTGCAAAGCCCTGCCCCAGCCCTCCCAGAAAGTGGGCAGGATGCTTGATTTTTCAGGGGCAGCCCCCAGGGAGCTACTCCTTTGCCAAGGGCGGGGGCGGGGGAGCTTTCACCCAGGACTCACACTGGGGAGAGAGACCCAGCGAGTGCTTTCTGGAACCCACCACACAGGCTCAGGTCCATTCAATCTCTGTTACTCCCCTTGACCACATTCTCATGCTTCCCTTGCCTCCAAATGGCCACTCCCAGCATTCATTCATTGACTAGCGGAGCGGTCCAGAGCTGCACTGCCCAACACAGAACCACCGGACGGACACAGAGAGGTACCAAGCACTCAGAATGTGACTGGTCCAAACTGAGATGGGCTATAAGTTAAAATCACGCTGGATTTGGAACCCTTCGCGTGAAAAAAAGAATCTAAACTATCTTATTCATAATACTATATGGATTACGTGCTAAAATAATATTTTGCAGATATTAAATAAAATTTATCATTAAAGTAATTTCAGCTGATTGTCTTTTACTACTTCTTTAAAGTGACAACTAGACATTTTTAAATTTCACAGGAGGCTCACATGATTTTTCGATTGGACAGCGCTGGTCGAGGCTGTGGCTCTGATCCACTATCTGGGTCCAAACCTCAGCTCCATTTACTAGTTGTTTGAGGTTGGGCAGGTTTCTGTTCCTCTGTGCAGTCCAGCTTCCCCTCCTGCACGCAGGGGATAAAGGTGCTGCTGGCCCGAGCTGGGGGAGGATTCAGTGAAATCGCATAGACTCGCAGCTGCCGCGGTTCTGGCACTCAGTACATATTGGCTGCTATTCCTCATTCAACAAAGATTTCCTGATCTTCCTCTGACAGGTCAGAGTCTGTGCTAAGCCCGGGAGACACAAAGATGAACCTGAAACATTCTCCTGCCAGCACATCTGAGCTTTGCTACTGTGTGATCTTGAGCTAGTCATGTTGCAGGGAGCGGGGCTCATGGTCCCATCTGCAGAAGGACTGGTGAGATGTCCAGCTCAGACAGACGTGTGATAATTCTGAGGCCATCGGCACAATTGTGCCAAAACAGAGCAGGTACTGTTTCCAGAAGGCAGGCATCAGAGCTCAGAACTGCCGCCCTGGATAATTGCATTTGCAACCCCAACCCCATCAGCACTTGGCCCGGGAGCCCAGGGATGGGATTCCTGAAACCTGGCAACTCCCAGCCCTAGGAATGTGTGTGACTTGCTATCCTCTCCCAGGCTCCACCCCTATATCCTCATTTCCCAGCCTGAAGAAGGACTTGAAGGGCTGGGGGTGGGAGTGGGAAAGAGGGGATGAGGATGGGAGGGCGGCCTTGGCCTCACTTTCACGGAAGACTCAAGGTCAAGTATGTTATATCATCTCCAAATGTGACTATGCTCAGGGATAGGGGACTCTGTCATCACAGCTCCACCCTGCCTGGAGCACATGATGAATCAGTAGTTCTTATAAATTTTATCATTTCCCTGTGACTAGAACTGCTAGGCAGTTTTTGTTTAAAAAACACCATCCTGGGGCGCCTGTGTGGCTCAGTCCGTTAAGTGGCCGACTCTTGGTTTCGGTTCATGTCATGATGATCTCAGGGTCCTGGGATTGATCGAGATTTTCTCTCTCTCCCTCTGCACCTACCCCCCCGCCCACTTTTGCGCACTCTCTCGCTATCTAAAATAAATAAATCTTTTTTAAAAAAGCACCATCTTAATTAAGGTAAATAGTTTTAAATGCCATAAGTTTTGTAAGCTTCTTGTGGAATTAATTTTTTTACTGAACTGGGAGACTCAGAACAGAACAAAAAATCGGAAGCAGGCCAGGCCTCTTGCAACCCTCGAGGCCCCAAGATGTGCCCCCTCCTGGAGAAGGACCATCTCCAGTGGGTATTTGCGACTGTCCAGGCCTAGAGGACAGATGGACCCATGTCAGCAGCCTGGCTCACCAGACCAGGCCAACTGGAATAAATGCTAGCTCCTCCCAGCCCCCCTACAGACCTGCCTGCTTACAAGAACTTGCCTTTAGAGGCGCCTGGGTGGCTCATTCAGTTAAGCGTCTGCCTTCAGCTCAGGTCATGTGTCCAGGGTCCTGGGATCGAGCCCCACATCGGGCTCCCTGCTCAGCAGGAAGCCTGCTTCTCCCTCTCCCTCTCCCTCTGCTGCCCCCCGCTTGTGCTCTCTCTCTCCCTGTCAAATGAATAAATAAGATCGCTAAAAAAAAGGAACTTGCCTTTAAGATTTGACAATCTTGTTTGCTCAAAAAAATAGCAGCTCAAATGCTTCTAGAAAGCCTCCTAAAAGCCTCAACGGCCTTCACCAACCCTGGACCCCACTGACAGC